AGGAAAAATTGTCATAAATCTCTATGCAAATGCCAAAGTGTCACTTTTTAACCTTTTAACTGTCATGCCCGAGATTGATAAAAAATGTCACGCCCGAGTATTACTCAGGGCAATTTTTTTTTGAGTGCATCGTATTGTTATACCCGAATATATATCGGGAGACATTTATTTTGGCTTCATCTCTTTGTTAAACCCGACTGTATCTCGGGAAAAGTTAATGTGCGCTCTGTTCAATAGATGACAGCACTTTACTGAAGATTTCAAAGGTTAAAGGTTATAAGTTCTTTGGTTCAAAGTGCATGGGATCTTTTTGTTGTAAAATGGCATCCAGTTCTTTGAAACGTTATATAGATGATTTAGATTTTTCAACCGAAGATGAAGGATGTGTGTTTGATGGGCAGTATTCATGATACTTCCATGGTCAGCCTCAAAAATAAAAAAATGGAGATATACTCAAGCCGAAGATTGTTTCTAATTACAGTCAAACTATGGGTGGTGTAGATCGCTGTGATCAGGAAATATCCTTTCATCCAACAATCCGAAAACGTGAGAAAAAAATATTATAAAAAGATATTTTTTACATTTACTAGACGAGGTACTCTGAAACTCATTATTGCTCTATAAAAATGTATTTGGGAAATGTATTACATTTTTAGAATTTCGAATCCAAGTTGTAGAAGAGCTTTTACATAAATATGATGATGCAGCTTCTGGACAAAAGAATGTTGGCAGACCAGCTACAATAGATAACTCTGCCCGTCTTACTCAGCGACATTTTATATCCCATATTCCTTCTACTCCTGCGAAAGGTGAGCCTACAAGACAGTGAAAGTATGTTGTTCGAAAAAGGATAAAAATGGGGAAAAGATAAGGAAGAAATCACGATTCTATTGTAGTGATTGTGGAGTTGGTTTGTGCTTGGAAAAGTGTTTCCAGTTGTATTACACAAGACTGAATTACTGAACTACTAATAGGTATTCACTTATATTTATTTATTTTTTAGAAAATAATTAATTTTTTTTCATTTTTAGAAAATAATGCTCCACTAGAAGCGAACTTTACAACTGCTACGTTGAGTGGCAGCCGCCTCAAGCAAATATGCAGTGGCTACAAAAACTTTAAAAATTTTACCCATGTACTTCAAAATATCAATTTTTAACTACTTAAGTATATTTTATTTTGTACTAAACATTTGATTTTTACAATAAAAAAATTTGACAATTTGTGTACCCAAATCATCAAAATAACTTGACAGTTAAAGGGTTAATAAGAAACTTACATATTACATACATGAAAAAGAAAGATATTAATTTCTTTATTGATTATAAAAAAACGTACTTAATGAAACTAACACCAAGATCAATGACAAAATAGAGAAACATTCAGATAAGATCTGCTTCAAAATTTAATTTTTTAATGGATCAAGATTGCTGAATGAATTTAATTGAGAACTGATATGTTAAGCCTGAACAACAACAACAAAAAAGAATACAGCTTATATTCAGTGAAAAATAAGGTCCTCAGGGATTTGATATCTAAAACCAAACTAAAAATTATGTTCAAAGTCAACCAGAATTTCGGTTGCTTTCATAAGATACATTCCAAATACTGTATGAAGTAGCAAAATTAGAATTGCTGCCTTTTTCGACTACACATACCTGTGAAACTGGATTTTCTGCTTAGAGAGCTACCAAACAAAATAAAGCATCTGCTTAAATAGAGAACAACACATTGGAACTAGATAATGGTTTGTCAACAACTGAACTTAAAATATGAAAACTGTGTGAAAATGCACTTTCAAATCTACAGTAATATTTTTTACACTTAGATCTCATTAATGGTTGAATGTTATGCTGCTTTAATTTAGGCCTTTTATTACATTACAACATGTTCTAAGTGCACTATATTTAACAAAATTAAATTAAAAATACTTTCTATAATGAATAATAAAAATTTTAAGAAACAAGAAATGAAACAGAAGGAAATGAGTTCATTCTATGGCCTTCTTTATTTTTGATTGTTGCTCTCATCAATAATACAAAATCCGTTACGCATATGGTTTAATTCATTGAGCTTTCAATGAATATTTATGAGTGTCCAAATTTTGACTATATCAAGTTTATTTACAGATAAAAATAAATTAAGATGTGATAAATTTTAAAGTTTTTAAAATATACTTTAATTTTTAATACTTTTTGCATGGACACTGTTCAACTGTTTAGATAGCTCTTTACATTCTTTTACTATCTCTCTCCTCGTCACATCTTATATTAGAAAAGATGAAGAGAAAAATATGTGTGTGGCATGGATGAACTCAGGTAATCTGACAAGGTGAAAGGGGAAAATCTCTTCCCTCCCATTTTCCTGCAACATGAAAGAGCAGCCAGGTTTTCCCCTCATTTGCATGCACTACACTTATCAGGCGGAAGTGTATTCTTTAGTATTATATTTGGCCCAATTTATTATTATATTTTAGACATTATTATTTATGTTTAACTATGTTTTTACTTGAAACATTGCACACAGACAAGTTTTTGATTAATTTCATGAGCTGATTTATTTTGTTGACCTTACTGCTCATTGTTGCACAAAGTTTGAATTACGTTATAAAATAGAACAAAAAATAATTTATTCACCTTTATCTAATCTTTATTTATTTATTATTTAATTTTGTTTAATCTTATCAAAAAGCCTCAAAACACATATACAAGTTTAAAATTAGATTTATTCTTTATCTTTGTAATGTTCCCATTCTCATTCACATACAAATTCTATTGTAGTGACTTTCACATATTCCCTTAATCGATTTTATTATTAGATTTGTAAGACACAGGATAGAGGCTCTGTGAGTCAAAAAGGTTAGGAACCACTGATATGTAATAAAAGTATAGAATATGCAGTGAATTACAGATATGTACTCAATTGGAAAAGCAGGTAGTGTCACTTTATGAAGAGGATATGAGAAACTAAATGGGAAAAAGCTGTATTAAAAAACACTTTTAAAGCAACTGACAAAATCTGTTACCTAAGCCACACTGAACATCAGCTGTGTGTTTTGCAAATCAGGCATCTTGTCACAAATAAATATAAAATAACCTAGGATTATATTTAACTGTGTTTGAACTCTTCACTTCTAATATAAAAGGGGAAGAAAAAAACGAATTTTTTTCTGATATACAATGCGAATACTTACAAGGTCAAAGGATCAGTTATGGTCATTGTTTATGACCAAACTTAATTTAATTATACATTGCGTAAATGATAAGAGCAAAAGAAAAAAATAACAGAGTAGCATTTCTCAATACCCATTGTATTCATCCTTGCAGTTTTCATGGTTCATTCCTGTAGCTGTAGTCATTCATGATGTTTGCATAGATAACTAATTCTGAATTACATATTATCCACTACTTTACTATTCATGAATGCATTTTGTAAAATTCTTTTACCTCCCAAAGCTTCACAGATGATTATTTACGTTTATTTCTAAAGCAAAAGCATTGTATAGTCAGCTTAATAAAATGACGTTAAACAAAAAATTTCAACTAATACTAACTATCTTGTGACAGTAAATTTAAAACTACACACATACAAACCAATATATAAAGAAAATTATTTTACAGTCTTTTTTAGCTTTCCAAAAAATACACAAGTTTGTACCCAACATGGCAATGTAAGTTTTTTCTAATAACCACAAATATACTTATGCTGTTAAATATAAATATGAAAAGTACAGAGGTTTTACAACAAAAAGAAAATAATTTTAGTTACATGATTAATTTTATTATGGAACCCATTTCTTTAGAGAACGATGCACAAAGATATATGTATCAATTAAAATATTCAAGCATAATTGCTGAAAGAAAAAATGTCTACTTCAAGTGAATAATGAACACCCTATTATGAAGCCTCACAGTTAGGTTTGAAGTAATTTGCTAAAACCAATTACAAAGGCTGTGGCAGCAAAAGTAATTCACATTAAGATGCATAGAAACTGGGGGGGGATTCCTTTCAACTGTTATGGGATACTACTACTGGCAGGACCTCCTATAGTTATGAAGGGACTGAAAGGTTAAACCCAGTAAAAGTAATAATAATTAATGTGCATGTAATCATGTATATAAATTTAGTAATGCACAATTTACGTATTTAAAGCAAAATTAAAAATAAATTTCTACTTGATAAATGTTATACAAATCTTCATAAAATGCTCTACAATCTTCTATAATAAATTGAAACAATTAAAATTAAAAAATAATAATAATCAGAAAAACTATGCATAAATAAAACTGCAGGGGGGATGAGAGGAGTTTAGGGAATTTAAGTTTCACTTAGGGATTACTTTCTGCAAGAATTTGTTATCAAAATTTCCATCATAGTATTTCTTTTTCTTTCAGCACTTAGTGATCATCAATTTTCGTAAAATACATTTCAAACAGATTATTTAATTTAGACAAATTAAGAATTAACTGAGAGATTTTATGAAAAATTAAGTGTTTTTTTGCATTTTCTAGGAAAGTTGGTAATTCTGTAACATATATAATGTAAATATTAAATTTCAGTTAGATAAGAAGGCAGAAATGAAATTTTAAAAGCAACTAATTAAAGTAAAAATAAATATGAATAGAAGGGAAATAATAGGAAAGAAAAATGAGAAAAAGGTAACACGAAAGAAACATGAATAGAAAAATAAAGAAAAGAATACAAAAGAAAAATGAATGATTTAAACATCCTACTTCTATTAGTAACCTATATATGCTTTTTATGAACTTAAAGATAATCAAGTCATAAAATGTCTCAGATCTATGTTGTAACTTTAATTTTCATTCAAATAATTAATAACTGCACATATAAACACACAATTTTATTTTACTCAATTGCCCCCAAGTAAATTGCAAATATATTAAAAAGTCACTATTAAGAGATAAAAATTACTTGGCTTTTCCAATAAATTTAGTAATTATATGTTGAGCAATTTACATATTACATAAACATTTACGTACCTTACACCTAAAAAGCGTGGTTTCTCTCCAGGAGCTGAACACTTGGATGAACGTTTCAATGAATTCACGTGTGTGATAGAAAGAACAGTTGCAGCAACAAACCAAGGTAGTCCCAAAACAGAACAAATTGCAATTAAAATTGCTAACACAAATAGATCTAAATGATATCCACTTCCTTTCTGGAAGAAATAAAAACATTACTATATCAATATTTTGCATAAAAAATTATGAATATAATTCATATGAATTAACCTAAATACTGCAACTGTGGTGAGAACAATTCTAGTCAGCCAGTTATTGTATATCCTATTGATGAAGGGGATGAATTATCCATATCAAGAAAACTGAATACAGAGCTCCATTCTGAGGATGAATAAACTTATAAAAGCTCTCAGAAATGTTGCTATTGCATCCATAATTTCCCTAAAAGAGTTAAATACATTCAAAGGAAATTACTAATAGTAATTCAAAGGTATTACTAATAGAAATAAAAATCTTAACAATGCCTATTAATTTCAATCATGCTTATCAATTTAAAAATTAATAATCTTTAAAAATTATATTATCATTACAGAAGCTTTTGGTAACTTCTGAGCAAAATGTTTTTAAGCATTTACTCTACAATTATAGACAATAAAAATACTAGTGATGTGTTCAAGAAGCAGTTTTTTTAAACTGCCATTGAAAAGACCAATTAAACTCAAATTTTTTACACTCCATATAACCTTTATCCCCATAAACATAATTTTACAGACCACACAAAATAATTAACATCTAATAATCTGAAGATCAATAATAAGATAATAATCTGTAGTCCAAGATCGACTGAATGAGGAAGTTCTATGGCAGCAATAAGAGGCTAAATTGGTAAATGTTTCATCAGTAGACAATTAACTTTTTGAAGTCTTTTTATTTTTCTAATGCTGCATCATAAAACTTTTTGTTAGAAATATTGATATGAAGTGTGAAAATTAATAACTACACAACGAAGCCAAGATTAAATTTAAAACCAATAAGAAAACAATTGTAACATTAAAATTAATTTTAAAACTACTGCAAATAAAAATTGTCAATCAGCATGTTTATATGAAATTCTGATATATTAAATATCATTTTAAGATAACAGTTTATGAATTTTCCAAATTGCAATTTCAGCAATATTGGATACACAAACTAGACAATATTTTAATTAGTTATCTGATTAATACAATACATGGGGGCTATCTGCCACAGGTAAGAATGCTGTTGTAGAGGACTTTCTAAAAAAAAAAAAAAAATAAAAAAAAATAAAAAAAAAAATAAAAAATAAAAAAAAAAAATAATAAGAGAAAAGAGGGGGGATTGTATTTACGTTTACATGAGGAAAAAGCGAAAACACCACCACGCACCAGTCCATTTGTCGGGATTTGAAACTGGGACAAACTATAGTGCCTAACAGTCCTAAGCAGTGTTTTCAGTAAATATTTATGCTATTTAAATACTGAATATACTACAAAGGTAATTATTGAATTCATGAATGCATAACTAATTATAATAGCCACCTTTAAAGCTGAACAATTACAGCTTAGGCCTGCATTCACCATATTTAAATGCCTGAAAACAAATAGATAATAACTTACCACTAACATTTTAGGCCATAGTGAATTACAGGGTTTGTACACATTTTTGCACACATAAATTAAGTACTTCTAAGGACTTTAAAGGACCATTAATGAAAAAAATTAAGGACCTATCAGCAAATGGGAACTGAATAAATTTATTTAAAAATATTATCTACGCCTGAATTTCACTTTTTTAATACCATCCTAAAAATAAAATAGATCCCTAAGTAGTATGCATTATTACTAAACATGAATTAATTAACATAATTAATAAGTTTGAGAATAAAATAAACTTTATGTAGTAAGTAGCATTAAATATTTATTCGGTACTTTTCCGTTTTGCCGGTGCAAGCGATAAAGTCGCCAATAATGGTACAACCGATGCCAAACGGAATATTCTCGCTGGTAGCCTTTTACGCCTCATTTTCAAAACAAGTCGCAGCTTTTTCTTATCAGATTGATTGTTTCTTTCAATACTGGCATATAATTACATAGAATTTTTATCAGATATGTCTAAGGCCATTTTCGGTAATTAAGTCAATTAGGATGCAATCACAGCTCTTACCCGAAGCCGAAAATATAGAAAAGGAAAGTCAAGGGTTAAATTCATCAATTCTAATGAGAATGTATTAGTGAAGTAAAGCACTGCAGTTTTACATAATTTCTGAGTAAGCTATTCGTACGCATTGAAATATTTCTTGCATTTAAACTTGTGTTCCAAATTAAGATTTAACTTGAAATTAATGTAGATAATTACTGAGAGCATTAGATTTTTGTAGAGTAGTTTACGTGAGATGAGATCGCTTGGGGTCACGTGATATGAACTGGCGAATTAGGATGTTGAACCATGAAAGCATAGTAAATTCTTAAATTAATGTCTTTTTACAAATTTATTGTCTTTATTTGTTGGCTTTTTATAAAGTTTTAAGCGATATTAAAATGTTTATACCTTCAAAAAAAGAATTCTTAAAACTAAAATTTTTTAAATATTTTTTATGTGTATACTGTATGTTGCCGCTAATAAAGTCTGCTTGGCGAGATTTGCGCCGGCGAAACGGAAAAGTACCATTTATTCTTATAATAGTTGGACATACACTGTAATGTCTAAAATGCTGAAGAAAAATTATCCATACAATTCTGTAACAGCAAAAAACCAGAAATATTTAGGGAAAAACTGTAAACTTAATTTTATAGAGGAAACTGATGCACGTTCTGAGAATTTTCAATATCCTGAGACAATTACATGGGAAAAATGCTTACTATGAAAAAAAATTGAAAAGAAAACATTTTTAATTACATAGCTAATTTTGCTTTTGCTAAGAGCTGTTTTGTAAATTGTGCTTTATAGCATTATACTTTGTTTATTTTTCAGATTCAAAATATTGTAGTATAAGAAGTTGCCAAAATGAAACTTTATAATATGACAGCGAAAAAAAATAATTTTAATGTTATTTTTTTAAATATAATTTCAATATATTACCATTATTTTAATGAAATTTATCAATACTATGATGTTTTAAAAAAAAATCGTCGAAAAATTCTCGGAATTAAACATTTTCTATAGAAACTGATCTTAAAATCGTGAAAACGTTGATAAGTTGCAAAATTTAGAACCGTTTAATAAAAGAATTCACATCCTCAAAAGTGAAAAGTTGTTTAAGAGCTCTTTATAGGACAAAATGAATTTCAAAATGCTTATGTTTCACTTCTTGTTTAGCAACTCAAATATTCCACTAAGAAATTTATTTAGAAATAGTAACAAATTATAACCCCTGAACCCATTCAAAAGATAACCATATATGTCAGTGAATCGCCAAAAATATTCTTCCAAAATGCTAATTCACACTCAAAATGGTAGTCGTAAAAAAAAGAAATTTAAAATTAAGGACCTTCTGTTGATTTTGGACAAAATTAAGGACTTTTAAGGACAAAAATTCAATTCCAAAAAATCTAAGGACTTTTAAGGACTCTTAAGGACCGTACGAACCCTGTGAATAGACTGTTATTTTAAGGAAGTTCTGATGGAAGGATAATAAGCTAAAATTCTTTTTCTTGAAACTACAGCAAAATCTAAAAATGCAAGGAGGGTCTTAGATTTTAGTAAGTACATTAATAACACCAGAAATATTGCGCTTCTTTAAAAATTCCATAATTTGGTTGTTAATAAGTTTGTTTCATCCAACAAATATTTTTAATATTAAAAGATATTTTATAAAAATAAACTAACCTTTAGTTTATTTTCTTTCCTATTTACAATAACAGCAGTTATTTGTTGATCCATAAAGATCAAAACAGTTAGAAGTAATGCAGGCAACATTGAAAAAATTGCTGACCACCATGGATTATGTCCAAACAATGGAATAATCCAATCTCTTCCAGACCATGTTGGCTAAAATGATAAACAATTTTAATTCAGTACTACAGTACTTCAACTTTAGTTTGAAAAGTTTTACAAACCTCCTAGACATTTTATACAGAATTTATATAAAAGTTTACTTACATAAAAATCGTAAAATCAAACATATTTTAACTAAACATTTGTATATATATTTTGTAAAAAAAGTTATCTTCATATAAATAATTAAAGATAAAGAAAATTATTAAGAATACAGAAATTACTATAATCTCAAAACTATTAATTAACACTGCTAAAATAAAGAAATGAATCTTAAAAGAAAAATATGCTTAAAAAAGTATGACGATTCTTCTTACTCAATCAATATATATATATATAAAACAACCTTAAAACAATGTTTTCCTTATTAGTACCGACATACAATAAAATTTTGATATTTATAAAATTAATAAGCATCCCTCTAACATAGTACAAATGCATATCATTAAAATTGACACTAAACCACAGAAAATTTCAATGTTAGAAATAATTCATAATTTTTGACTTCAAAACCATATTAATTTTACTTTTAATTTATATTTTAACTATGATTTGAAATATTTACATATTACTTATTTTATACAACATAAAAATTTATTATGATATTTATGTTTTATTTCCTAAAAGTTTATCATGTTACAAGTTGCTTTTCATTTATATTAATTAAACAGCCATTTCAAATTCTATTCCAAAGTACTCATATTTTCAGAATAGATTCATTACAGCTCTCTCAAATACTGAGTATCATGCCATACAGCAACAGTGATTTTGTTACATTTTTTAAACAAAAATGAATTTTTGTACTCTTTCTAAAATAGGATTTAATACCAATTTAATTCACTTCAAAATTAAAAAAATTTTAGTTACTTAATAATGAACAGAAATGAGATATTCATTTATTACATATTTTTCATCACATATTAAAAGTATAATAAATGTTTCCAGCCTCTAGGAAATCTTTCATCAATGAAAAGGATGCTTATAAGAACGACAAAAGTACAGAAACAAATAAAATGTACTAAATGAAAATTTTGCTCTAAAAGAGAATTATAATCTGATATTTTAAAATGGTATAGTGGACTGCTATTAGCTGAAAGTTAAAATTTTATTCAATAGCAGTACCAAAGAAGTAAAATTTTTATCCTATCTACAATATGTAAAACTGAATAGCAACAACTTTACACGCCCCTGCACAACACAAAAAAGAGCAGATAACATGAACATATCGTTTGCAAATGGGGAGGGGGAAATAATAATGACACTGAAACTTACATTATAATTAATGAGGGAACAGGAAGATAATGTTAGTCAATACTGAACATATATGTGGAGCAGAAGAACATGCTTAGAAACAAAATGGAAAAAGTGAAAAATTTCTTGCATAGTTTGGAGGGTGGAGAATCAAATAGTTCAGCTTAATTTATTTAAAATTTTGAATTCCTGATGAAATCTTACCAAAAATTTAAAATCTACATAAAATTTTGTGTTACAAGATATATTATTCAGATCATATGAATAAAATGAATAACAGGTAACCTAATCTATTTGATTAAAAACAACTAGAATATGAAATTATTATATTTTTATTTTGCATATGTCATTATAAAAAGAACATAATGATCAACGCAGCATTACACTACTATACCAGTTCTGAACTACAGGACATTTGCTTTATTATACAAATCATAATCACATATTTTTATTCCAATAAGCGAAACAATTTTCTACATAAGTTTCACAGACCTTACATAAAGTACTACACTTAAAAAGCCACAAGAAAGATAAAAAGAAAAATTTAAAAATACCTTAAATGTTTGGGGCACTTCAAGTTTGGGTGTATGTAAACCAACATAATTATCTAAAGCAGTCATAATTACAACAGCGATAAGGACAGAAAAATCTGATATACATGTACGAACCTATAAAAAAAACCCACCTATAATATTTTTAATACACACTACAACAGTGCTACAAAAATAAACTTTGACTAAATAACATATCAAAATAAATATAAATCAGTTAAAAGATTTTAATGAAAGGCTGCCACCAAATAATATTTTCCATCAATTTCATTATATGAATGTGTAGTGCAGGCATTCACATTTATATCACTTGTGATTATTACAAAATTATTCTCATATGAATAATGACAAACATTTGTTTCTCATTAGATTTTTATATAAAATAATATATAGAAATAAATAATACATAAATGACATCTGCATATTATACTCAACAAACACAGCAAATTGTGAGAATTGTAATCGATATATGCACGCACTACCTGAGAATTTTAATTTCATGCCTTCCCCCCTTTCTGTGCATACGTGCACACACACACATATAACACAAAAAAGTCTTTCAGAGACTGCACTTTTTTGGTTATGGCAAACAGTTGTATTCAATTAAGAATCAAATTAAATAGCATTTGGCATTTATAACATCCATTTCATCATTTTTCATGAAAAAATTTTATATTTCTTTAATTTTATAGCATTAATTTTTTATGCCTTTGATAAAATACATACCTGTCTTTATCAAAGAGTTTAGAGTTGCCAGCACAAAATGCATGGCGTTTAGAGTTGCCAGCACAAAATGCATGACGTACTTAAAATTTAGAAGCTTTAAACGCACAGATATTTTGTAGAATATGAATTTTTAAACTTTAAAGATTCATTTACATTTATTCTGAGGCAGCATAATTCACAAATTAAAAAAAACTTACAGTTTAAACAGAGCTCAAAAGAACCACATGTTACATTTTCTTGCCATAATATAACTGAGCTGCAGGGTACTTGATTATAAAGATAAGGGTTTGAATTGCTGACTGGCTACATTTTATAATGAGAAAGTTTATCAACTTAATATGTGATACACAATGTCAATAACATGTTGCGAATCATTGGATTAATAAGTTGTGCCTGTTTTCTGTAAATTTTTCCCTTGTGCCCTTTCAGTAAAATTCTCAGTTTTTTTTTTCGTCATTTTTAGTAGCTCACAGTTTTCAAGGAACTTCTATTGAAACTACAAAGAATCCACAGTAGTTGGAGTCTATGGGAGATGGCTTTCAAATATTTTACCACAATTTTATTTACAGAATTTTTATACTTTTTACTGATTGCTGTATTTTTAGCTTCACTATTATAAATTTAAGAAATGCACCTTAACCATGCACTGATAACTTAAGAGAAATTTGTTTCGGCATGTTATATGAAAGAATTGAATTCAGCAAATTTTGATATAATTTTGATGACAGATGTAAAAAAAAGAATCTGAATTTATAAGGCTTCTGCATTTCTACACAAAAGTTAGAAATAGTTCACAATAGCCAATGGAGTTGAGATCCCTTGATGAAGTCACCATAGATAAATTCTATTCATGTTTTGGAAGAACTGCAGCATCTAAAAGAGTAATTGCATCCCCAGGGACAGCTAATTCTGGACTTACTCTGAATAAGAAAAAAGAGGCAAAGTATAGTTTCAACTGTCTAAAATATATGCACACAAAAGATGCACCTTTCCTCGAGACATAAACAGCAGATGCGACAATAATTACTGTCTGTCGATAAGGATAACAGTTCCCACCATAATGTCTGGCAAGTGGTGGTTGATGTAGCAACAGGGCTAGTATATTTCAAGTAGGGGCGAAACCAAGGGAATGCTTTATTTTTATTTTGGTTTTGATGACTGTTGGCTGAAGTGAAATTAGTTTATTTGCATTAATGAAATGTGTCTATACATTTCAGCAAATAATCAAGTAGACCTCTAAGATGTCATTGATGGTTTCGCAGGGGAAGGAGGGGGAAGCATAAATTTAAAATGTTATTATTATTATTAATTAAAAATTTTTTTTATCCTTGTGCACCACAAAGTATCACACGAGACTTACAAATCGTAAGTAAAAAAGGCAAAATAGTAAGTAATATCATCAGTTTTCAACAATACAATGAAACTATAACAAGGAAAAAAAAAAAAAAAAAAAAAAAAAGTAAATACAAAAGTATAAAAATGTATAAAGAAATCATTAACAGTGTTTAAAATAAAAGTCAACAAAATCATTGAAAGCTCGGTAGGCCGAAGTCGAGGATACAAAATCATAACATTTCGGCGGCCAATGAATTTCAATCTACATTTCAAAAGATTTCTTGCTTTATCAAGCAGTGGGCAATCAAAAAGCAGGTGGAAAACACTTTGCTGAACACTAAGATTGCAATTACACAAATTGGAAGATGTCAGCTTAAATCGTTCAAGATAAACATTAAACTTACCATGTCCAGACAAAAATTGTGTAACTTTAAAATTGAGCAACAAGTCCTTACTTTTCAGTCTTTCAAAAATAGTTGGGAAGAATGTTTTTGTAACAGATCCCTTATCAGAAAAGATATAATCACAGTTTCCACCACTCAATCATTTTTTTAGCTTTGAATGTTTTTTTTTAAAATAAGATTTTGGAATATTTACATCAACGTTAATATCATTTTCAGTTGCATTCTTAGCAAGCCAATCAGCTCTCTCGTTTCCATAATTACCCAAATGACCACGGACAAATGTAAAAAAACACTGAAATACCCCTCTTCTCCTCCAGATCTCCGAAAGACTGCTGTATATTGACAATAATATCATTACATAAAGAGGTATTTTTAAGAGATTCCAGGGAAGAGAGTGAATCCGTACAGATTAAGTAGCTGGAACCACGTCCATTCTGGCTAATTATCCACTTGATTGCAAAATTAATACACAGAAGCTCAGAAATATATACAGTACATTCATTTCTAATGCGAAATTGGTGACACTCAATTTCAATATCATCTTCAAAAAATAACATAAGCAAAACCAACTTTATCATCAATCCTACTGCCATCCGTATACAACACAAATGAGAATGAATTTACATCAGTGTCCGTACTATCCAGAATCTGTACTGGTTGTCTTACAGAAGGATGTGGTAGAACAGACAAGGGCAATAAACGATCAAAGTGAGAATTGGAGTAATTTGCAAGACTATTCTTGTAATCTATAAAGGTCAGAATAAACAAATCTAGTGGTGGAAATCTGGCAAGAGAGAAAACAGCATTGTAACTAATAGTTCGGTAACCGCTTATAACTCGCAGCAAAATTCGTCTTTGAACTCGAAGCAGGCGTTTAGAGTTAATTTTCTTTTTTAGAGACAGTCCCCAAGCTCTACATCCATATGAAATAGAGGGTACAATGCCTTGTTTATAAATAATTGCGCTAACATTCGATTTAACACCAAAACTATTACATGCAATTCGATTCAGCCCACGCTGAAGCCTCTCACATTTATTAGAAATGTAGGAAATATGCTTTTTCCAGTTAAATTTGCTGTCCAACAAAACACCTAGATATTTAAAATGTTGGAATGTCTATTTTAAAATGTTGGAATTAAAATTTTTCTTAAAAAATAAGCATAGATTTAAAATTTATTTCCCTGTAAGTTATTTTGATATATTTTTACTCATTTGTACATCAAGAGGGATGGGAAATTCAGCAACTCCCTCACTTGGCACAATCAGAGACCGTTTCTGGTTGCAAAAGCTATATCTATGCCACTGAATATTCATTTACAGAAACTGGATGTGTGTGTATGGAGAGGGGGGGGAATGTTAAAGCAAAAGTGTTATGAAATACATATACACATATATGTTTTCATCTGCTTGAAATGAAGTATTTGATTTTTGATAAAGAATGAAAGGTGAAAGCATTATTTAAGCTCGCTACATAAAATATCATTTCTTCTCAGATATTTTCACAAATAAACTCACAAAATAAAAAATAAGCATTCTCTCTCATCTTTAACCTGTAATATAGTATATAGATGCTTTATTCAAAAATCTGCATTTATATCATTAGGTTCATTTTGCTTGAATATTATATATGGTTTTCATTTTATCTAAAATGACCAGCATTCTTGATTGATAGACTGCATGTAGTTATTAACATGTAGTACAATCTCTCTTTTTGCTCTCCTATAGAACTGCCTTTCATAAACCCAAAGTTGTTAGCTATTTTAATTGAATATAGAAAAACACAAGAGGGTTATATGTCTAGGTGGGAAAGTATCTCTCTGAAGGACTCTCTAAGGAAATCTGCCTCGTATTTATGTTGCATGTAGGATATTTTCAAAAATACACACAACCAGCATAAATATTTTTAATTTAAGATAAGCAAATGAAATGTTTCTTTCCCCTTTTTATGAAATAATATAACAACTTAACTACAAAATATATTCTTTCTTAAACTTAATTACAAGCTTCCTGGATAATGTAGCTTAATAATAAGCTATATTAATCCTTTATTAGTACTACTGTAGGTTTTTCTGAATGTAGCCTTCTAAAAATCCTAAAGAGGAGATCTATAAAAAAAAAAAAAAAAAATGTCTAAAGATAAGTTATCAACTGCTTTTTAAAGGTTCATTTCCTGCATTTATCAATCAGACTTTTCCTGCTGAACTTTTTTTTCAATTCTTTTTGTTAGAGAAGAATTGCGTATTATTTTCTGACAAACAATATTTACTTATCTTTATGCTTGGGCACATAAAAATTAACTTTGATTAATGATCCTTGTAAATAAATCACTCATCATCATTTTTTTTTTTTTTTTTAACTCTGTGATCTGCTATTTAAATAACACTATGAGAATGATTAATAAATCTGCATTTCTTTTTTCAATTTTCTTTTGCATTTTCTGAGAATACTGTATTTAATTTGCATAAATTTTCAGAAGTTGGATATGCTAAAACTAAAAATGACAAAAAAGAATAAAAGTTTCATTTTTTACCACTATCAAAGCAATTCCTTAAAGAAACTATGAACTTCAATATTTTACGTAGTTTCTATTAATGATGCATGTTGACTATTTTTCTTCATTCAGCACATAGCCTGATAAGTTAATATATGGCA